CTTTCTTTCTTTCTTTCTTTCTTTCTTTCTTCCTTTCTTTCTTTTTCTTTTCTTTCTTTCAAGTTAGATTGAAGAAGAAACAGATCAGTGGGTTCTGGACAGAAAGTCACACTCAGAAGGAAGAACAAGAAGGTCCCGAGTGCCCTGACTCAGGGATCCATACGTGTCTCTGCACCCCTGCGGCCCGGCAGGCCAGGGTTTGGGGGAGCCCCGCTGCCCGTGGGAGTCAGTCAGGCATAGATGTCGAAGGAGGTGCATGTAAGGGTGGCAAGCTGGAGATGCAGTGTAAATAAAGTTTTATTGGAACACAACCCCACTCACCTGCATGTTGTCTGTGGTCCCTTCCACGTGACAACAGCTGGGTTGAGTTGTGACGGGGCTCCTGTGACCTGCAAAACCAAATATATTCACTCTCAGGCCTTTAATGGAAAGAAGTTTGCTGACCCTAGGCCAGTGGTGTGCTGTCCAGTAGAAATAATAATGGGAGCCACACACACTTTCAAGTTGAAAGTGAAAAGCACTGAAAAGAAAACCAAAATGGAAAGATGTCTTATCTCCCTCCCACTGGACATCACACGGAAGCACTGGCTAATGCAACAAGGCAAGAATACTTAAATGCAAGGTGTACAGACTGGAAAGGTGATCTCTGGAAGGGGGAACTAGAGGCAATTCTTTTTCTTGTATTTCCATCCGTATTTTCTATGTGATGTATTGTTTTCAAAATAAAGCCAAGGTCATGTGTCGAATGAAATGGAGTTGGGGAGCCTACTACACTCTTTCTATTTAGCATCTTGATCTTTGTACTTTCTTGTGCTCCTCTGAGCTCTTTCTGATCAGCCTCCAAACAGGGGCCTGGGGTGTGAGATGGGGCTACGGGGGAGGAGGAGGGGGCAGAATGGAGAAAGGGAAGTGGGAGTGCTTGTGGGCCGGGGTGGCCTGTCCCACCCCACGACGTGCCGCACGCATCTCGCTGACACCGGGCACCTCTGTTACGGTGGCCCCTGGGCGCCGGTGCTCCCTAAACCTTTCACCTTCCTGTTTTGTAACAGTGACCACCTTGTACAACCCACCAACCCAAATGTAGCAGCGATGCAAGAAGATGTCCTGTACCATTTCAGCCTCAGCACCAGCACGCATGATTTCCCTGCGATGTTCGGAGATGTGAAGGTAAAAAACCGGGCTTTCGATCCTGGGGCTTTGTCTTAAGATCAGCCTCCTCGTAGAAGATATGGGCAGACTGGGCGGCAGAGGACCAGGTCACCAAGTTGTCTTGTCACCAAGGGGGCACCTGGCTGGCATGAGACTCTTGATCTTGGGGTCGTGAGTTCGAGCCCCAGGTTGGGTGTGGACATTACTTAAAAATAAAATCTTAAAAAAACAAAGTTATATCTTCATCAGATTTTTGCAAATTGTTACTTTTAAAATATGTAAACTAATGAGTGAAAGAAAACTCCTCTAAGTTCTGCCATACTGGTCCCTAAATAATCTCTTATAAATTCAGCGTGTGATGGGAACTAATACAATAAATTTCTGAATGCCCCACTGAGAGAAAAGGAAAAAGGGGACACAGAACATTCTGTAGAGGAGCAAGGGATAATAATAAGTGAGTAATTACATGTGTCTGTTTGTGATTTAAGGTGTGTGTATTTATCTTTTTTGTAATGGCTTATTTTGCTTCTAGTCCTTCCCCCCCCCACCCCCCAGAGTCCTGAGTTCCTCAGGGCTGGCTGGTTTATCCTGGCACAGGACTTTTGAAATGTCTGATCCCTGTGGGTACAGATGCACTAATGTTTAGATTCAAAATCGAAACAACCAGTGACTGTCCCAGCGGCCGTCGCGTTCATTTCAAACCGTGAGACAAATGCCCATGTGTTCTTCTTGGATTTACTCTGGTTGCTTATAGCTCGTAGTATTTTGCTAATTGAGGTATAACTAATATACGGTCTAATATTCATTTCAGGCACACAATATAGCGATTCAGCACTTCCATGCATTGCTCAGTGCTCACCAGGATAATGTAATCATCATCTGTGAGCAAACAATGTCATTCCCATCCTACTGAGTATACTCCCTCTGCTGTACTTTGTATCTCCATGACCCATGTATTTTGCAACTGCAAGTTGGTATCTCTTAATCCCCTTTATTTCTTTGGCTCTTCCATCTACCCTTTTCCTTCTAGCAACCACCAGTCTGGGGGGGAGAGAGAGAGAGAACAGGAGCAGGGTGAGGGGGTGGCGGAGGGAGAGAGACAAGCAGACTCCCCGCTGAGCAGGGAGCCCGATGTGGGACTCGATCCCGGGATCCTGGGACCATGACCTGAGCCGAAGGCAGATGCTTAACTCACTGAGCCACCCAGGCGCCCCTGGCAACCACCAGTTTGTTCTCTGTATTTAAGAGTCTGTTTTTCCCTTTGTCTCTTTTTTCTTAGTTAGTTTTGTTTCCTAAATTCCACATGTGAGCGAAATCCTCTGGTGTTTGTCTTTCTCTGACTGACTTATTTCAGTTAGCATTATACCCTCTCGCTCCATCCACGTCGTTGCAGATGGCAAATGTCATTCTTTTTTTATGGCTGAGTAATATTCCTCTGTGTGTGTGTGTGCGTACATACACACACACACACACACACACACATATACACACATGCATCTTCTGTATCCGTCCATCAATTAGTGGACACACGGGCTGCTTCCATATCTTGGCTGTTGTAAATAATGCTGCAATAAACATAGGACTGCATATCACTTCTTGATTAGTATTTTCATTTTCCTTGGGTAAATGCCCAGTAGTAGAAATACTAGGTCATAAGGTAGTCCTATTTTTAATTTTTTCAGGACCCTCCATACTGTTGTCCAGAGTGGCCGCACCAGTTTGCATTCCTACCAACAGTGCATGGGGTGTTCCCCTTTCTCCGCATCCTCGCCAACACTTGTCATTTCTTGTGTTGCTGATTTTAGCCATTCTGACAGGTGTGAGGTGGCATCTCATTGTGGTTTTGATCTGCATTTCCCTGATGATCAGTGATGGGGAGCATCTTTTCATGTGTCTGTTGGCCATCTGGTTGTCCTCTTTGGAGAAATGTCTATGCAGGTCATTTTTAAAAATCAGATTATTTGTTTGTTTGTTTTTTTCGCTGTTGAGTTGTATAAGTTCTTTTTATGTTTTGGATAGTAACTCCTATCAGACATGTTATACGCAAACATCGTTTCCCACTCAGTAGCTTTGTCATTGAGTTGATGGTTTCCTTTGCTGTGCATTGTGGTCTTAATTTATTTGCTTTCCATGCATTAGAATTTAACCTAAAATTTTTTCTAGGCTATGGAAATGTTGTTTGTCATGTTTATTTTATTTATTTATTTATTTTTAAAGATTTTATTTATTTATTTATTTGACAGAGAGGGACAGCGAGAGAGGGAACACAGGCAGGAGGGAGTGGGAGAGGAGCCGGGAGCCCGATGCGTAGCTCGATCCCAGGACCCTGGGATCATGACCTGAGCCGAAGGCAGCCGCTTAACAACTGAGCCACCCAGGCGCCCCTGTTTGTCATGTTTAGAGATGAATCATTCTTTCATCATCAAACTCCTTAAAACTGGCTTATGTACATTTCCCTCTTGGGTAAAACAAAATGAAAAATAAGTTATTGTATGTGGCACTTTGCAGATGAAAGGTTTTCCGTCTCTGAGAGCCACCTACCCCTGTGATAGCTCCCAGTTCCCCAGCCCCCACTGGGCCCCTGGCTCTTTCTACACTGTGGCCATCTGGCTCTTGGACGGCTGGGGAGGTGTGTGTTAGAAGCGCATCTTACAGAGGGGCTGTGGGGTCCTGCTCGCACAGCGAGGAGTCCACATCATTTTATCCCAAACCTAGGCTCCCTCCAGGCGCCGACCGAGCTGTGCACATGATGGACAGAACCTGGAATTTCCTCCCCAGAGAGAGAGCAAGGGTCTGGTTTTCCTGGGTTGTGTGGGATGGATTACACAGGGGCCTCGTGCATGGAGCAGTGATCCCATGACCCAGTCAGTGCCTTTCAAACTGGGTGAGCATCCAAATCACCAGTGTCTGAATCTGAATCACTCACAGAAGCACCCATAACAGGGCTCCCCAGGCGCAGTAGCTCTGGGCTGGGGCCAGGGACCTTCATTTCCCGCAACATTTAGGTGATGCTGATGTTTGCTGGGGGCCCCCCTTGGAGGGACCCCTGCTATGAAGACGGTGCGCTGTGCCTGACGGGGCTCTGTTCTCTGGCCGCAGTTCGTGTGTGTCGGGGGAAGCCCTACCCGGATGGAGGCCTTCGCCAAATACATGGCCAAGGAGCTGGGCCTTGACCACCCAGGTGCAGAGTATCCCAACATCTGCAGGGGGACCGACCGCTACGCCATGTTCAAAGTGGGCCCCGTGCTGTCTGTCAGCGTGAGTACCTGCCCTGGCGCTGGGCTCGGGCCTCGGGCTCTGCCAGCACCCTCCCCGGCCTGCCCTCTGCACCCACGGCCCGGGTCCCCTCAACACCTGTGTCCAACAGCTGTGTCAGAGTGGGCACAGCGAGCAACCATTCAGAGCGCTCCGGGGTGCAGAGACGGTATTCAGCTCCAGATAACGGGAGCAGGTTGTTGCTTCCCCACTGAGCCTCGGGGTAGCGAACTGTGTCACGGCTATGCACGTGAGCTTTGTGCAAACTCTGGCACCTCCCAAAGTGATGTTTGGACGTCCATCTTGTCTGACTGCCAGTTTGACATGCCCAGAGGCACCCCCACCCTGACATAATGTGGGCGCTTCTCCCTGGTTCCAGCACGGCATAGGCATCCCCTCCACCTCCATCATGCTGCACGAGCTCATCAAGCTGCTCTACCACGCCCACTGCTCGGATGTCACCGTCATCCGCATCGGCACGTCTGGCGGGATCGGTAAGTGTGCACAAGACCTCCGCCCGGGGCCAGCATCCCGCACACGAGGACCTGGAGCCTCCCTGCGGGCAGGCCCCGTGCAGGGCAGGCTTGGGTACTCGGAGCTTCTACCCGGCTTTGTCCGAGGAAGCTCATTAGCAGGAGGCATGAAAAGAAGCTCGTTTTGTTACTTTTCATCCAGCCAATTCTCCCAACCCAGCCCCCAGAAGTAGGTTGCGGAGAGGTGCGGGGCCCGGTGTTGCAGAGCCTTGTCCTCTCGGGGTGATGTGCTCGGAGCCTCCTTGTCTGCCTGCCTGCCTCTCTCCCTTCCTTCTAACCGCTTCTCTGCCTCTCTCCTTCCTCCGCACCTCCCTATTCCTGCAAGGATTCGAACCACCGTAGGAGAAAACCGACAGGAAAATCAAAGAGAGAGATGGAACACAAAGTTAAGTGTCCTTAAGGTGCCTAAAGGGTCCCCAGGCTGATCCTGAGCGTGTCGTTTTGTTTTGTCTCTGAAAGCCATAGAGAGAGCAAAGAGGGGACTGGATGCAGTGAGAAAGCCCAGGGCACATTTGCTTTACGGAAGCTGCCGGCTCTCTGACTCTGACAATCCCCCCTGGGGGGGCTCAGAGCTGTCCGGTTCCTGGCCCCCCTGGGAGGGGCTCACACGCCCCACCTTGAGGGTGACGAGGACAGCAGAAGGGGCGTGACATCCCCAGGCTCGTGAAGGAATGAGAGCCAGCAGCCGAGCACCCTGCAGGTTAAGCCCCAGGGTGGGAGCAACTCCACTGACCAGAACAGGGACCAAAGCAGCCCGGGAGAGAAAAGTCCAGATAAATCCACAGGGGGCCAGGACATGCTTTGTCACATTTCATGGAAACGGCTGATGGGGGGACTCTAGAACCATCCCCTAGCTTCCTCGTCCCTGCTTCCTAAATGTTTAAGAAACCCAACTTCCCTTTCAGGTAAGTATTTGGAAAGGCTCATGGTCACATCCCACACAAAGTTATTAGAAGATCAAAGAATAGGAGCAGAGTGATGTCCCTACAAATGTGAAAATGCCCCAGGAGGGGATGCCCAGGAAACTTGGGAAGTGGAACCCTAGTATCGCAGGGATCAAAGGAAGGTGGGATCTGCTGGGAGTCGGGAGGTGCTGGAGCTGGGTTTGGGGTGCACAGGGGTTCCTTAGACTCTTCTACTTCTGCAGTTTTTTGAAATCGTAAATAATGAAAAAGCACAAAGCGGGGACCAGGTAAGCACACCGTGGCCGCCTGAGCGGTGGCGTGTCAGTTAAAATCAGCAAGGACTGGAGGACGTGGTACATGTAACAGGGACAGGGGGTCCCCAGCAGTTCCGTTCTCTTTGCTCTTTTCTCTTCCGTGCTCTCTGCAAGCCTTATGCATTACTTCTATCATCAGAAAAAAGAATTTGATGCAGAAAATGGATCCTTAACGATTGCCTTTTAGAACAGTACTGGGTGTCCCGGTATTTTGGTGCGTAGACGGGTCATTTTCCTCTCTGTGTGCGCTCTGCGGTGCCCTCCTCACCTGCCCTGGATGGTCACAACACCTGCTTCTCTCCTCAGGTCTGAAGCCTGGCTCTGTGGTCATTACCCGGCAGGCGGTGGATGCCTCCTTCGAGCCGGTGTTCGAGCAGGTGGTCCTGGGGAAGCGGGTGGTTCAGAGGACGCACCTGGATGAGGAGCTCGCGCAGGAGCTGATGCAGTGTGCTTTGGATCTGCTGGAGTTCCCCACGGTCATAGGGAACACCATGTGCACCTCAGACTTCTATGAAGGTGACAGGGAGGGGTCTCCATCCTGCCCGGGGCTCCCGTCTCTTCCGGGTTTCCATGGTGCCCTGAGTGCTCTGCTTATGGGTGGGCAGGGCCCAGAGGGATCCGAAGTGTCCCTGCGTCCTGGTGGGTAGCACAGGCCTGGCATGTAGCAGGTACTTACTGTGTGCACGTGGGGAGCACACCCAGGTCAACGTTGGCACATGTCCATGTGTCTTCAGGGCAAGGCCGTCTGGACGGCGCCCTCTGCTCCTACACAGAGAAGGACAAGCAGAAGTACTTGCAGGCAGCCCACTCGGCTGGCATCTGCAACATCGAGATGGAGTCTTCGGTCTTGGCAGCCATATGTGGTGCATGTAGCATCCCAGGTAGGCAGGCGAGCATCTGGTCACCGGGGCCCCGTCCAGATCCTCCTCCCGCCCCCATCACCCAGCACTCACCACCCGCCAGCCGCGGCTGCTTTCCACCCACCCTCCCCCAAGGCAAGTTTCTGGATGGGGTGGCATTGTCCAGTCCTATGCTCGGACACCTTTGACTGTCACACCGTCCTGGGCCGGGTCCTCAGTGGCTGTGCAGTGGCTTTGCATGCACAAAGTAGGATGAGAAAGACCCACGTCCAGTCAGGTCAGGAGGCTCCCAACGCTGCTGGGAGCCTGCTTTCAAAGCCCCTTAGATTTCTGGTTTGGGGTTAATCCACCCCCGAGTTCCTAGGCTCGCCTTCGGGGTCCACTGCCCCCTTCCAGAATTCCTGGACACCGGGCTTTCAAGGGACTTGCTTGAAAGCTGCTTTCGAGGGGAAGGCTGGCAGGAATCAGGCGAGAACAAGGCAGGCCTGCGGGACACCGAGGGGACGCCTTGCCTGTCTTGGGGAATTCAGCTGGAAAGCCGGTGCTTCGCCATGACGCGGCGTTTGCTCTCTGCAGTGGCCGTGGTGTGTGTCACTCTGCTCAACCGCCTGGAGGGGGACCAGGTCAGCAGCCCCCACGAGGTGCTGGTCGAGTACCAGCAACGGCCACAACGCCTGGTGAGCCACTTCATCAAGAAGCGCCTCGCGGCCGCCCAAAACCCCCTGAACCTCTAAAGACGCGCCGTTATGATTGCTGCACATTAAGTCACTATCGGGTGCCCGGCCTGCTCAGTCATGAGAGCATGCGGCTCTTGAGATGTCCGAGTCCTGAGCTCAAGCCCCACACTGGGCGCAGGGATTACTTAAATAAATAAATAAGCTTAAAAAAGAATCACCATCGAAATCTCCTTTTGTGGGGCGCCTGGGTGGCTCAGTCCTCAGGCGTCTGTCTTCAGCTCAGGTCATGGTCCCAGGGTCCTGGGATCGAGCCCCGCATCGGGTTCCCTGTTCAGCGGGGAGCCCGCTTCTCCCTCTCCCACTCCCCCTGCTTGTGTTCCCTCTCTCGCTCTGTCAAATAAATAAATAAAATCTGTAAAAAAAAAAAAATCTCCTTTTGTATATCTTCATGCACACTTTACATAAGAATTTAGGGAATTGGGTTGCATTTCAGAGGCTGAGAATCCTGCATTAACAACACAGAAGATTTTTCTAAAAGCTTCCTTGGAGTGTTTTTGACCACATTAGCCCAGGGTGGGTTCTGTGTAAGGATGTTCCCCGAATATTTGAAATATTTCCAGAGAAAATTTTCAGACTTTTCAATTCTCGTGGTTGTCAGATTTCACATCACTAAGCAGGAAATCCAACTATAGTTCCACAAGAACTCATTTCCTAATATATTTTTGGAATTCCTTCACCACTGTGTAGTGAGAGATGACCAAAGAAGCAGGAATTTGAGACATAAATGCACTTAAGTATATACCCTTCTGGAACATGCCATGGCTGAGTATCACACAGTGATGACTGCTGGCTAGGTGGGTCTGGGTCCAAGCACCTGCAGGTGGGAATGACACATCCTGGCTCCAAGGCCCCTTGTGCGGCTCGTCCTCCCTGGTGCATTGGGCTCAGGCTCTCCTGCAAGGTGCGCCGGTGTGCACGTCCCCTAGGGTCCTTCTGGAGTCGGTCACAGAAGTGGCCCTGGCTGCGATGCTGAGGGTACCAGCAGGGAGAATCCAGAGTGTCCTCCTGTCTCCCGGCAGTGGCAGCCACCCCTTCTGGGGTGTCCCGGCCCCCCCATCCCAGGGGTGCTCGGGTCTTGGGACATCCCTGGCTTCTGTTTGTCCCAGGTGACTTCACACTTTTGCATCAATGTGGCTAATTTCGGGTATTCAATTCTGTTTTAAATACTTGAGGTGCGGGGCGCCTGGGCGGCTCAGTCAGTTAAGCGCCTGCCTTCGGCTCAGGTCATGATCCCAGGGTCCTGGGATGGAGTCCCACTTCGGGCTCCCTGCTCAGCGGGGAGTCTGCTTCTCCCTCTGTCTCTCCCCCCACCCATGCTCTCTCTCTCTCTCTCTCTCTCTCTCTCTCTCTCTCTCAAATAAATCAAATAAAATCTTAAATAAATAGATAGATAAATAAATAAAAAGAAAGAAACCGCAAACCCCAAACAAGCCAACAGGCTCGGTGCTCACACGCAGAGGCGCGGGCACTTGGCTGGAGCTCACTCATCTGCAGCATGAGAACACCGTCCCCCTCCGGCCTGAGGAGTGCCAGGAGCTGCAGGTGAAGAGCCTTGAGGCAGCTCCTGGCAGGACGTACCTGCTCCTGTCCCCACTTTGCTTTTCCTGCAACATTGTGCTTCTCCACCACCACCCACGTGGCAACTGGGGGATCCTTGACCACTGTCTTAGGAGTGACCTCCGCCATTGTCAGGGGCCCGGGATGGGGTAGCTGACCTGCCTTCTGAAGTTCTCCCTCCACCGTGGCTGTGCTTAGCTGTGCCTTGGTCTCCCTGCCTTGCTCCACCCCCTGGTACGAGGGAGTGCGGGCACCCCAGCCCCAGGGCTGGTGTAGGAGTTGGGGGTGCAGACAGTCTCTGAAGACGCTGACTCTCTGGGACAGGTGTGGGCTGTGCAACTAGGGCCCAAGGGCTTTCCAGCCTCCCCAGACCCGGAGGTGATGTGACTCCCCTCATGGTTAAAAAAAGTCCAAGTTAAAAAAGGTACAGCCACAGTGGAAACTGTATCATGATGTCTCAGAAAACGACACATCCATGGGGCACAGTCAGCGAGCTAGAATCGTACCCGACTATCTAATTTGGGCCCAGGAAGCCCCGCCCACCCCCCCAGCCTCTCAGCTGCACCCTCCTTGTGCCACCCGCAGTGACAAAGAGAATTTTCAGGAAAAAATAAAATCATGACTCTCCCACAGGCATAAGAATAAAGACTGCATTTCACTTGCCTGAGGGGACGGGGCAGATATTCTCAAGGGTTCAGAGAATGGGGGGCATCTGGGTGGTTCAGCAGGTGGAGCTCATGACTCTGGATCTCGGGGTCCTGAGTTCGAGCCCCACGTTGGGTGTAGAGATCACTTAAAATAAATAAAGTTTAAAAAATAAATAAAGGGTTCAGAGAATGGGAGAAGCACATGCTGCTCCAGGAGAGCGCAGGGGGATGTTGAAACAGGTGCATTGCGGGGCCCGGGGAGCGGCTGTCCCGCAGGAGGCCCTGGGGAGAAGTTGCTCCGATCTCTCCATGGGTGGCGGGGGGAGGGGAGGCAGGCCGAGGGTGCCAGGCAGGGTCACAGAGCAGGTGGCCAGGAAGGAAGGGTGTGCTGCAGATGACGCAGAGTTTCCTACGGAGCCCCCATTTTTTTTTTTTTTTTTCCTACAGAAGGAAATCTATTTACTGCTCATCCAGTAAGAAACGTGGCAGAGAGAGAAGGCGGCTCTGGATTGGGACAAGGGCTCCCGTTTTTGCTTTTCTTGCCTCGTCCTTGTGATGGGATCTCGCGGCTGGGTCCATCTGTCTGAGCCCCAGTCACCTCGTGTGGGACGTGGGGGTTCACAGAACAGCCGATGGTACATCCACGCTCCGGGCTCGCTTTTATTTTCTCTCTTTTGTTGCGGTGAAATATACCTAACGTAATATCTGCATTGTAATCATCCGTACGCATAATTCAGCAGCATTAATTTCGCAGTGTTGTGCTACCATCAGCACTCTCTGCGCCCAGAAATCTTTCCTCATCCCCAACCGAGCTCTGTGCCCACACACACAAATTCTTTCCCTTTGCCCCCAGCCCCTGGGAACGGCGAATCGACTCTCCATCTCTATGAATTTGCCTGTTCTAGGTCCCTCATGAGGGTGGAATCATAGAGTATTTGTCTGTTTTTGTTGTTGTTAATCGTTTGGCTTATCTCGCTGTTTTCGAGGTCCACGCACGTGACGGCATAGATCTCGCTGTTTTCGAGGTCCACGCACGTGACGGCATAGATCTCGCTGTTTTCGAGGTCCACGCACGTGACGGCATAGATCAAAATCTCATTCCTTCTTAAGACGAGATGATGTTCCCTTGTAGGTATGTGCATTTGTGTATCCCTTTATCCGTCGATGCACGCGTGGGTTATATCCACCTCCTGCCTCTTACAGCACTGCTGTGAACACGGGTGTGCAGATAGCCGTCCCAGCCCTCGCTTTAATTCTTTTGAGGGTGTATTAGGAGTGGAGTGGCTGGGTCATATGGCATTTCTATGTTTACCTCTTTGAAAAACCACTTGGGCACAGTTTTATCTCCATGAAGGAAGCTGAGGGACACTTGTCAGTAGGTTGACCCTCCTTTGTAGTTTGCCTTCTCACGCCTTGTCCCTTCTGGAGGTGGCGTGGCTACTCCAATTTTTAAAAAAAAATATTTTATTTTAGGTAGGCGCTACGCTTGAACTCACGACCCTGAGAGCAAGTCACGTGCTCTACCGACTGAGCCCGCCAGGCGCCCTCCGTGTTAATAAAGCCCTGACACGGTCCCTAGGAGAGGGAGTCCGGAAGATCCGACCCTGGCCCGTGGCAGTCCGCGGCTGGGCTCCCCGTGTTTGCAGGACGGTCTCTAAATGCCCCTCTTCCTGGGACAGGTTTGTACTCAGTCTCCCAGAGGTCGTGCGCTTGAGCAAGGGATGGCATTTACCGGCCGCAGTGTGGACATTCAGCCAAGGACCTGCCTTTCTCGGAGGCGGTGAGCTGCCCCCCTGTGGAGGGTTTAGCAGGTGCGGCAAGGGGGTCCCTACGTGAGGTGCCCACTGGACCTGATGCGACGTCCAGAGAGATGCCCTCTGTCTCCATTCCTAGAGAGACCTGAATGGGCGTCGGCTTGTCTGCGAAGGTGGCACGGGGGGGCCACCCCAAAACGTGCCCCTCCGGCCTAACGATGGAGAAACAAACGGCAGAGGCAGGGGAAGCTCTGAAAACAGAGTAGAAAACAGAGTAGAACTTGGCCTTTTGTGAGGGAAATTTCCGTCCATCAGGGAAATCTCCATTTGTATGGGTGTCCCCCTCCCTGTCCTGGGAAGAAAATCTGGAACTCGTTTGTGGGAATGGGGAGGGGTCGGCCTGCCAGTCTGGTTTTGCGTCAGACAGATCCCAGGTCCCCTGGAGGAGGATGGAACTGGGGAGCCCTGCGACCCTCTGTCCACTGCTCTGGACCCTCCCCAGGCTGTAGTGGGGGCCAGGGGCCAGCGGAGCCCCCAGCTTTGACGGGGAGGGGCCGTGTGGATTTCCCACGCGGGTACCGGCGCTCACAGGAGTTGGGTGACCCGCACGGGACCCCGTGAGGTAGTGTGCTGTCACTGCACAGGGCGCTGACCTGGGCTCAAGAGAGACACAGTCACACCCCCTGTAAAAGGTGGGTCAAGTGTGTGCAAGCGTCCTGCTCACGCTCAAAGCCCTCTCTTTGTAATGGAATGTCTCCTTTCCTCCAAAGTCGCTTTATCTGACTTTGGACAATTACTAAATTCTCTGTATTTCGATCTTTTCTCCAAAAATCTTGTGTGTATATAAGTCTGTGTTTAAGGACACTTGAGTGGCTGAGTCGGTGAAGCGTCTGCCTTCGGCTCAGGTCACGATCCCAGGGTCCTGGGATGGAGTCCTGCATCGGGCTCCCTGCTCAGTGGGGAGTGCTTCTCCCTCTCCCTCTGCTGCTTGCCCTGCTTGTGCTCCCGATCTCTCTCTCTCTCTCTCTGACAAATAAATAAAATCTTTAATAAAAAATAAGTTTGTGTTTATCATACATTATACCTGATTAGTGGGACACAAAGGCAGAGGAGAAATTATTATATTTCCTTACTACCTACAGCCCACTGACAAGTCCTTGAAAGAAGCAGAGTGACATTCCTCTAGGGATTCAACTGCCTCGATGCCTTAATACTTTGCTAAGGGCAAAAGGCAATCCTAGCCCGAACCCGCCCCCCACCAACAACCGGCCTCACCAGGATCCTGTAAGTCTACTTTAACATA